TCTCCGTAAACATCCTGATCTTTAGATGTATTATGAATCTCACCAGACTAGGACGTAAACCTCTCTCGATTTTTCTGCACTTCCAATCCTCGCTCATGGTTTTAGTGTAAAATCTAGAGAGGTATACAAAGTGTTCTACATACTCCTGCACAATCCTACTCCTTTGCTCCGTGCTTCCCTTTCATATTTAGCGCTTATTGAAAAATAACACTCCAAAAATTTTGTTCTGAAAGTCATTCAGCTGATCTCTTCTCCCTAGGCAGTCATCAATAGTTTTGTGCTCCTCCACCAATACTCTGCTTCCCCAAGTATCATGAATGTAGCGAACATTAGCTTATGCTCCTTAGTACAATCAATCACTCCAAAGATCTTTTCATTATTTTAGATCTAATTATCTGCCTCATCAAGAGTAGCCTTTCCATTAAACTTAGATGGATTATGATGTAGGTAATCATTCATACTAGCACGGTACCTAGGGATAGGTCCTGCCTGTTGTCCCTGCAGTACGTGTACCATTTGCTGGAGGGCACGAGCAATATCTTCAATGGTATTGTTAGGGAATCGTGGTCTACGAAGACATCTTCTTACATACACAACAATAACATTTATTTAATCACTTCAATTCAATAGTTATACACATACACATACAATTCACACAGATATACACATATGCATGTAATTCTTACCATCATACAGTTACACTTGAAATTCACAAACTAACACACCAAAAGTTAGACAAGCTCACACCCCAAAAGCCCTAAAAGTTTTTTTTTTCCGAAACCTAGCTCTGATAACTAGTGTAACTTCCCAAATTTCAAGGTGTCACGGGTTATTACAAAAATCGGTAATTTTCAAAACTTTCTTATAATGCAAAAACGTATTTTCAAAAACATCAACATTTAAACTTGCATCACATAATAGTTCCAAAATACTTGTCCAATTGCAGTATTTAAATAAAACAAAAATAACGAAGGAAATAAAATAACTCCAATTACATTGTCTTAAAATTTCAATTACAATAGCTTTAAATAAAACCTTAAGTTTGTTCCCCATCATCTCACTAGTCTATCATGCTTTATCTTATCTGTAGCATCATCTGCTCCCGTATAACATCACACATTATACAATCATCACATTCACATGCACAAACACAAACATGTATGGGGTAAGCTACCGATAAACCAATAATAATAATAAGATATAAACACATTGAATATATCAACCATAATAACCACCTCATACCCAATAGTAATAATAATAGGATCCCTAAACCTTTAACTCAACAAATCAATCACGATAAATTATTAAACCGTAGTCGATTCGTTCACCAGCACCTATGTTGTCTACACCACATAATCTCATTACTATCAATATAGCATTCCTTGAAGCTTCATCGTCATTACGATCATCCACACATGTACCTCTATCATGACACACCTCATCATGATTATCCTAGTCATGAACAACCATGAGCATCTCCAAACCATAAACACCAGTTGAAAGAGTCAGTCTCACTCTTGTATCCTACCTCACTGATTGTAGATTGCCCATACAACCCATTTATAGATTCCCCATACAGATACATTTGAGTAGTCCTGCAATCCAGAAGGGAACATGTAATCCTGCCACACAAGGACAAGGAAGACACCTTCACCCCTACACAAGGAAGGCTCAATACCCAAATAACCCTTCTAATGCATACAAGGCTAAAGGAAGCACCTATCCGCATATACCACCAGGATTTACTAGGTACAACAAGTAGAATTTATCCTCCACTCTCATGCTCATCAATCACATACTGGTACATCCCAACACTCATTCATACTCCAATTCACAATCATTGCTTTCTAGGCTTGAACCACGTCCATTCTTCATCAAATTCGTCATTTTTCCCAAACATACACTGTGATAATCGATTATCACTTTTGATAATCGATTATCTTAATGAAAATCACCCATAAACATAACGCAAGAAGGGATAATCGATTATCATAAGTGATAATCGATTATTCCCGCAACTAGACTCAATATTGATGCGCAATAATCGATTATCATTAGTGATAATCGATTATCTGCAAAACGAAACACATCCTGGACATAATTCAAGTCTGCAAACACACACGCAACAACCCTAAATCACGAGGGAACTCCCTCAAAACATCATTCATGCAATCAAGCATCACATACTCTTGTAAACATACTCAAACACATACATTACAACACTTGAATCATCCAAATTCAATCATTATACATATTATAACCCAATCAAAACAATTATAATTCATATTATTATTACTACACCCTTACACATACATTTGCATGGAAAACTCCCAAGCCTCATAATTTTATCCTCCCTTAGCATCAAACCCTCCGTTGGAATAACCCAACAACCATACATACATTCATAGGGAAAACTCAACACAAATATTAAATAAACCCTATGCCTATGCATACATAAACCCTTACCTAACAAGAGCAACATACAACCATAATCATAATCATGTAACATATATCAACAAAGATTATAATCAAAATAACCAAGAACACATATAACATATAATAATTAACAAACAAAAGTAAGTTTCCCCCATACCTTGGTCAATCCTAAGGCTTTATCTACACTTTAAAACACCACCAATCTCTAAGGTTTCTGTAGTTCTTCCTCTTCTCTCTTAAAACCACCTCTCTTTTTCTCTATCTCTCCCTATCTCTCTCTTTTTCATTTTAGATGTAGGTTAATTATGAAACCCTAGTTTCCCTTTCTCCTTTCTATCTTTTCTTATTCTTTTTTTATCTTTTTAATTAAAATAGTATCAACAACCACTAAATATTTTAATTTTAGATTTATGTTTCTTTCCTTTACTTTATACACCCTCATAATTTAATTTCTACACTAATTAATGAGGTAAAATGACCTTTTTGCCCTTGGGCCCAAAATACAAATTAAAACTCTTTTACCCTCAATCCAACACATCATATTAGTAACAATACACCACACAAATCATCTAAATAACAACATATCAATCATGCTTTTCACTTAATCAATAATAATAATAAACATAATAATTATAATTCTAGAAATATTTAATCATCAAACACCAATTAACAAACAATAAGGTCCAAGTCTCATAACCACATTATTTCCTAATTACCATATTTTCCTAGGGTCTTACAACATCTGTAAAAAAATTTCCTAAATATCAAAGAAGTTATACTTTAAGAAACCATTACAATAGCATCACATGAATGGCCACAAATTATGAATCAGGCCATAAAATGCTTTCACAACAAAAAAATAACAATGAAAAAAATTCAAAGGTAGTAGTGTACAAGTAAGAAGTAGTTCTAACTCATACCTTAATCAGATTTCTCCAAATGCATTTGCAAAGTATATGAGATCATCAATGCTTTCAATTTCAAATCCAACAACTAGACCACCTTAATAAACCATTGCTTGCTCCTTTTAGAGTAGTGCTATTCGAGATTCCAATATATGATGCAAAGAAACCCTTATCATTATAGAAATCGAAAGTGTCAGGAAATGCTTTAAAAAAAGTACAAATTAAATTTCATCAACAAAAGCCATTGAAGAAAGAGAGAAACATTGCTAGCATTAGCATCTGAGCGATATGACACTGTTGGCAGCTTCGTCGACACTAGAAAGCACCGTTGTTGGTCGTTTCATGCATGGCGTAGGGTTTTGTTTTTTGTGCCCCATCGATTGAGTTCATATAAATTTGATTTGCGTATGAAAAAAATATATACAAGGGACACAAACTACAAAAAGATAAAAAAGAGAGAAAGATTGACCTGACCTAAATAAGTGGCGAAGGAAGGTAATGAGCGGTAGCTGGTGATAACGGTTATGGAGAAGGATCGAAAGAATTTAGAAGATGGTGAGAAGTTTGAATAAGAAGGATCAAGAAAAGCTAAGAAGAAAAGAAAGAAAAATGAACGCGAAGTAGTGGACAAGGAGTGAAACCAAAAGATGAAAAAAGAAAACAACAAGGCAACAATGAGAGAAAGCTAGAGATTATGAATTTTAAAAAATTAAAATAAAAAACTTAACTACAAATATGTTTATTAAACCGCCTGAAAATTATTTAAAAAAGAAAATTAAAACTTAGTGACGATTTTTTATTAAAACCATTGAAAATCAGTGGAGATTTTTGAAATTATTGAAAAATATTCCTCCGATATTATATTATTTTTGTAGTGTTATATCTCTCAACCTGATAACTTCAATCTCAACTATTTAGGTTGAATTGATATTCAGCATACAATAGCTATACAACGTGTTTTCGTACTACATCTTTAACATTGGATAATAGTAACATAATTTCTCTTTAATATATTATTTATATATTCATCCTTAATGGTGAATAACATTTGTAATATTTTCGTTATCCATCCATTAACGAGTTATTAGTAGAAAGTGACAAGAAAACATTGACATAAGTCATCTACTTAAAAGTTCTTTTTAAAGAACAAACTAATAAAATAACTTACATGTAAACATTGTCTTATAAATAACGTTTTTAAATTTATCTTTTCAAAGATCAATTACAACTTATATTATTTTTTTTTATAAACTTACGTTTCTTAATGTGAGTGATTTATTTTCTTCTACGTAATTTATGATAAATAAGGAATTTGATTTAACCATTAAAATAGTAAAACTTCTGATTTAATTTCTAAATGCATAAATTAGTCTAAATAGTTTTAATTCAGTCCATAAACTTAATAGTTTAATATTATATTAGTCTTTAAAAAATATAATTTAATATTAGATGATGAAGAAACTATTTTAAAACTATTAAAATAAAATCAAATTGATGATAAAATCATTGTAGGAAACTTAAAAAGACAACATAGTTATCATTCTTTTGATAGATTTAATTTCCATGTTTGAAATAAAACACTTCGTAGAGGTTTTATATTTGCAATAGATTTCCCTTGAAGAAGTAGCAAAGAGAAAAAAACCTGGAGGAAGAAACATAATTTCCAAAAGTAGGAGGGCTTGAAGTGTAATTATTCCAAAATCTTATTCCAGGTCCATTTTCACCCCTAAAAGCCAAAAGCAGCAGCTCAACGCAGAGCATAAGAAAGCAGAAGCGCAGTGGTGGCGGAAGATGACGGAGGTGGCAAGATCAGTGGTGCACGACGTTTTGGGACAAAGAGTCGTCGACGTAGACCAACCAATTGTCGATTACATTGTCAACGTCCTCGCAGACGATGACTTCGACTTTGGCCTCGACGGCGAAGGCGCATTCGAAGCCCTCGGCGAGCTCCTCGTTGCCGCCGGCTGCGTCGACGATTTCTCCGAGTGCCGCTCTGTCAGTCGCACTCCCTTTCCTTTTTGCGCAAACCTGAACTTGTTAGCACTAACCTTACTATTCTCCTTCTTCTGTTTCAATCAAAATGCAGGTGTGCAGCACGTTGTGCGACAAGTTCGGGAAGCACGGTTTGGTGAAGGCGAAACCCGCTGTGCGGAGCCTGGCGGCGCCGTTTCGAATGAATGAAGGTTTGGACGACGTCCAAGCTCCCAAGAAGAAGCCCGAGCCTGTCGACGGCCCTCTGTTATCGGAACGTGACCGTCTAAAGCTTGAGAGAAGGAAGCGCAAGGATGAACGTCAGCGAGAGGTGTTTCCCCAATTCCTCTGCTTATTGTTGTTTTCATCATCAAGGGGTTAAATTACAGTCATGGTTTTATAAGGATTTTGATGTAGTGAGAAACTGTGGACAAATGCGGTTAATGCAACCACAATTGTGGTTGTGGAGACTCCAAAACCCTAGATGTGGTGGAAACCAAATCTTGATTTTATTCTTATTATTAGTGTTATGGATTGTTAGATTAAGCAATTTTACGGCAACGTATTGTTGGTCCGAGTGGTATTGCACTCTGTCCCCTTAAGCAATGTTTGGGGATCTGGCCTTGTGTATGGAAAGACAATGTTGAGACAGGAGACCTCACTAGAGGTGGTCAGCCAAGTTTCCCGACAGAGATTAGTCATTAGTAAAGCTGATGAATACTCTGTACAATTAACATGGTTAAAAAAATATTAAGCAGGTTTACAATGTCAATTGTTCAGAACGAGTCAGTTAGAAGCTAAATGTCCAACTTTTAAATAATTATTGTAAAAGTCAATAAACGTGTCATATATAATGCCTTTCATGGTGAATGGTTGTAATTGGATGATAGTGTAACATGACTTTGTTATTGTTATTATTGTCACTCTTAGAACTTGTGGTTGAGTTCATTTGACTAAAGAAGGATATGAGCAGGCACAATACCAAATGCACTTGGCGGAGATGGAGGCGGCACGAGCAGGTATGCCATTGGTGTGTGTGAGGCATGAGAGCGCTGGGGGACCAAACGTGAAGGACATTCACATGGAGAATTTCAATATCTCGGTTGGTGGGCGGGATCTAATTGTTGATGGTTGTGTCACACTTTCGTTTGGAAGGCATTATGGTTTGGTAGGAAGGAACGGGACAGGAAAAACCACTTTTCTTAGACACATGGCTATGCAAGCCATCGATGGTGTTCCAAGGAATTGTCAAATATTGCACGTGGAGCAAGAGGTGACAGGTGATGATACCACAGCCTTGCAGTGTGTCCTCAACTCTGACATTGAGAGGACTCAACTTATCGAAGAAGAAGCTCAGTTAGTTGCCCAACAGGTGAGGAATTGATTGTGTTCTGCTTTGCTAGCAATTTGTATTTGGTCTTGAATCTGGGATAACTGAGTATGTTGTGTTGTTTGACAGAGGGAATTTGAGGACAAAATTGAAAAGGGTGACTCAAATGGAATGGTTGGCAGGGATAGCATTTCACAGAGGCTTGAGGAAATATATAAGAGGCTTGAACACATTGATGCTGATTCTGCAGAGGCACGAGCAGCATCTATATTAGCTGTGAGTTCATTGTTGGAAAGTCTTATTCTCTTATTAGCCACTTGAATCTTGTTGAATTTTTGAATTGTAGGCTTGTAGCTTATTCTTATGTTAATTTGTCTTTTGGTTTTCCCTATTTATTGCATAATCAGTTCTCTAAGGAGATCATTCATGTAATGGTATGAACTACAAAAGAAGTACTCTAACATGCTAGTAGAAGAATTTCTCTACTTTAACATTAAGCAATCTTCGGTTGTTGGTTACTTAAAATTTGTAGTAAATATTTATGAAGCAGAAACACTTTCCAAAATCATTGTCTTACAAAGGGCAATTTCAGGGTTTGAGTTTCTCTCCTGAGATGCAGAAGAAGGCAACAAAAACATTTTCAGGAGGATGGCGGATGCGCATAGCTCTTGCTCGTGCACTGTTTATAGAGCCTGATATATTGCTTCTTGATGAGCCTACGGTGACTCATCATTCCAAGTTTCTTCTGTGATTCATGGATGCCTCGGTTTAGAGAATTTATGATTTTTTTTTTTATTGCAGAATCATCTTGATCTTCATGCTGTCTTATGGCTTGAGTCATACTTAGTTAAATGGCCAAAAACATTTATTGTTGTTTCACATGCGAGAGAATTTTTAAACACGGTAACATATCAGCTTATCTTGATTTGGTCAAATATTGTGTTGGTTTAGTGCTTTCTCTAAATGTGTTAGTAGCATAATTTTTAATTTGTTGACTGCATTCCCAGGTGGTTACTGATATAATTCACTTGCAAAACCAAAAGTTGACTACTTATAAAGGAAATTATGATACTTTTGAGAGGACCCGAGAAGAACAAATTAAAAATCAGCAGAAAGCATTGGAGGCAAATGAGCGTGCAAGATCTCATATGCAGGTATTATGATAGGACTCCTAATAAGGATGGGCCTGTTAATCAACATGAAACAATTATAGAGGGAGCAAGGCCCAAAATATGGAAGGTTTACGTGAGACTTGAATAATATACCTGTGATATTCAGTTTTATTGTTGGGTTTCTATCATATTATTTTTCACTGTTAAAGTTATTCTTCTCTGTGTTGATAGTTTATTTTGTTCCGGCTGCTGCTTTGTTATACTAGTCTACTGGGTTGTTTATATGAATCCTTAATTTGTGAATCTATACAACAAGAGCTACAAGTTATGCTGCCAAGTGAGGGTTAACTGGTTAAGCTGTATTCTATGATATTTATTAGTCAAGTATTCAAGCTGGTTCATGTTAGAAGTTAGGACTTGGGTGGTAAATTAAGTTGTTAGTACATTGATGGCGTGATGTATGCTTTCTCAATGTAATTTCTAATATTAGCTTGCTGTGTGTGAATTTCTTAGATATTAAATAGGGTTGGATAGTTCATGTTAGAAGTTAGGACATGGGTGGTAAGTACATTGATTGCATGATGTATGCTTTCTCAATGTACTTTCTAATATTAGCTTTCTGTGTGTGAATTTATTAGATATTAAATAGGGTTGGATAGTATGATGGAGGGGATAAGTTGTCATTTGTAAACTGAACATTTGCTCTTTGTGAAGGGGAAGCCATTGGAAGAGAGGCTTTTCTCATTCCCTATCATAGTGGTGGGAATGGATACCTTTGGCAGCCACAGATCTGAAATCATGGAAACACATTGTGACTCTTGTGGCCAAGTTCCTTTTGGGGGCCTAAAAAATAGGCTGAATTGGCACAATAGTGTCACAACGCAACAGATAAATGGGTCAATTTCACCTTTGCCCTCAGCTGCATTGTTTTGAGGGTTTATAAAAGATAAAATGGACTTATCCCCCCTTTCAGATTGCCTAAAATTCTTAATGCCCCATTTAGTCCATGTTTTTCTTCCCCTCTTCCCTATACAGCAACAACAACCGCTTCTCTAGTTTCTGTTTGGCGCCTCATCTCCACCAAAGTCACCTATCTCTTGCTGGCCGACCTTGGTGGCTTTTCTAGGGACGCCCATATCCTTTAACTAATAGTAGCCAATATATTGTAGTCAATAAAGATGCATTGTGGTGTTATGAGATTCTTGTCTACTATTTTGATTAATTATGGTGTTGAAATGTTGAATTAGCATGGTTTATATCTATTTTTCATATGAAGTAGACTCTTACAAGTCAACAAATTAGGTCCACAAGTTGAGTCTACGACACCACCATGAGTCTATGTAAACTCTTAAGTTTGATAATCTTGGGTATGAATGCTATTTTGATCCTTAAGTAGATTTATATTGCATTATGTATAATATGCATAAAAATAAAGAAAAAACACCTAAAATCAAAATCGACCACATGGTCGAAAACATCAAAAGTGGCAAAACAACACTTGAGATTGAAACCGTAAAATATTTCTAGAGGGCTTGATTGATCCCTCTCACTTTCATCTATTTATAAGAAAGTTCTGATATAAACGTACATAGAAGATTAAGGGTCTGCCCTAGACACCTAGTTGCAGACCTAGGTACTACTCTAGATACTAGACTAGCACACTATCCTTAAGTAAGGCTTAATGATGATACATAGGGCAATTATTCTAATGCTCCCCCTCAAGTTGGAGTATATAGATTGTATGTACCAAGCTTGGAACAAATAAACTCAATCTGAGGACTCCTTAATGACTTGGACAACACATTTACGAGTTGATTATTTCACCCAACAAACTTAGTACATATTTCTTTAGTCAACAACTTTTCACGAACAAAATGACAATCAATTTCTATATGTTTAGTCCTCTTGTGAAACACTGGATTTGATGCAATATGGAGAGCAACTTGATTATCGCAATACATCTTCATAGTATGGATGTCACAAAAGTTAAGTTCTTGAAGGAATTGTTTTACCCATATAAGTTCACATGTTAGTGACGCCATTGCCTTATACTCGGCTTCAGCTGTTGATCGAGCTACTACATTTTGTTTCTTACTTTTCCATGAAATAATGTTTCCTCCTAGGAGAACACAATATCCGGTAGTAGACCGTCTATCAATAGGTGAACCTGCCCAATCTGCATCACAATACCCAGATACTTGAATGCTTACTTTTCAATTTCTCTTCTCTTCCATTTCTTACTTTGTATTTGATGTATCCAAAGTTGTTATTTGAGATCCTAGGAGAGGGAAATTTACTTATAGGACCCTGAGGGTTATCAAAGGAGGAAGAGAATTATAAACAAGACATGATGGTTAGGAGGAGGGAAAGTTAGTTAGGTTATTGGAGTAGGTATGTTGGGGTTAAGGTGTTGGCTATAAAAAGGGGTGGGGGGGGGGGGGGTTAACTTCTCTCTCATTCTTCTTTCTCCTCTCATAAACCCTCCATATCCTATCATATTTAGAGTCTCTTTTTTGGTTTTGTGGTAGCTGTTGGGGGGCATGGTGAATAGAAGAATGGAATCAAGATTGAATGGTGCAAGAATAGGATAACGAGTATCATAGGAGGTTCCAATGTTTGAAAGACATGATTCAGGGGCTTACAGTGGTGGTGGAGAAACTGTCTTCAACAACGAAACAAACTGATGAGGATTTGGTCGCAAATGGAGGCAATGAGGGCAGCAAAGAGAATGAAGAGAAAAGTTGGGTAGTGTCCTCCTCAAAATTGAGAAAATTGGACATCCCTGTCTTTGCAAGAAAGGAGGCCTATGGGTGGACTAACAGATTAGAAAGGTGTTTTTGATTAAAGGAGAGGGGGCCTATGGGTGGACTAACAAATTAGAAAGGTGTTTTTGATTAAAGGAAGTCAGTGAGGAGGAAAGAATGCAGGCTGTCATGGTTGCTTTGGAGGGAAAGCCTTGAATTGGTTTCAGTGGTGGAAAACCTACAATCCAAATCGTACGTGGGAGGCATTGAAGGTGGCTGTTGTCTGCAGGTTTCAACCAACAATGCTGCAAAACCCTTTTCAAATTCTGATTGGCTTGCGACAAACGGGTTTAGTGGAAGATTATATTGAGCCGTTTGAACAATATGCTGGTTTCTTGAAGGGGATTCAACACGATTATTTGGTAGGCATTTTCTTGAATGGGCTAAAGGAAGGCTGAGGTTAAGTTGTATGAACCCAGAAATCTTCTTGAGTTGATGATGAAAGCTCAGATGGTTGAGGAAAAAATCAGAGTTACAACAAAAGGGGAGACCCCACACATAACAATTAACATCACTACTCACCAGGGAGGGCAGCCAGCCACATCTACCCAGCCCATGCCTCCTCCTCTCAAGACTATATTCTAGAAGTATATCTATAACAACTGCCAGATACTAGAAAGACCACTCAAGGTGACTTAGAAGTTCTTATCAAATGGAAACATCTTTCAGATATTAAGAATAGTTGGGAATCTGCTGCCTGCATTCATAAAGAATTTCCAGACTTTCACCTTGAGGACAAGGTGAGTCTTCATGGAGGGGGTATTGATAGGTTTGATACAGTGTGCAAAAGAAGGAAAAAAGAAGGTAGTTAGTACAGTTGTAATTTCATAATTGTAACAGACTATTATATATTGTTAGGTTTCTTGGTGACAAGAAACCAAATTACTATTTCCGATTAAGAAAAATGTACACAAATCTTACTTTAACTTCAAAAGATGATAATTTAATTAGAAAAGGCAAATACAGAAAACGTCCTACTACTTCCAAGGGAAAAAAATTCCTTCTACACAGGTTAGAACCTGTTCCCGAACAAACTAATCCACAACCAACCTGATATCCATTTTCAACCTTAAAAGATAACCCTTTTTAGGGGTTGTAACCACCTCCAACCCCCAGTTAACTGTAACCCCTGCTAACTGCCTCTTAACCTCTATTTTGACCCTTTTTTCTAACATACACCTTGAGAGTTCTATCATGTATAGCCTTATTAGGAGGCGAGGAGGCATTTTTGGAGTATTTTGTAAAGGGAAAAGTTAGGAGAGACAGGTCCTCTCGAAAGACCTTGAAAATTGTACATGGTTGTTCGTGTTCTTACCACATTGGTAGAACAGTGCTGTTTGATTTCTTAATAAACATCCAAGAATTGTCTTGGAGTTCTCTTGTAACGTCTGGGTACCTTTTTTTCCAATTGTCTTGACAAGCGAAACTAAACAACTATAGTTTGGGATGAATTGTGTTTGGAAAGTCTGCACACATGCTCTCTCATTCTATATTAGTGTCATTAGATGGGTTAGTGTTAGTTATTGTTAGGATATTTATCCTATTTTATCATCATTATAGTGTGTCAAGGGTTATGCTATTTATCATGATTATATTGTGTTTAGGATTACCCTATTTATCATAATTATATTGTGTCTAGGGTTACCCTATTTATCATGTACTTGTGTATCAATTTATTCTTATGAATAGAAGATTGTGAGAGGGATCAATTAAGCCCTTTAGAATTATTTTACAGTTTCAATCTTAAGTTGGTATCAGAGCGGGTCGATCCCGCTCTGGTTTCTGTCTCGTAATATATATCTGTCCGGCGCCACAGTTCTTCGTTGCCCGCCACCGTCCGCCGCTGCCCGCCGCCGGCCACCGCCCGCTGTTGCCGGCCACCGTCGTCCATCACTGTCACAGTTTCCTTCATCTAAACCCTTAGGTATTTCTTGTTCCTCGCTAGTACTATTCGTCTTCTTCAGAAATGACGTCTGGCAGTACTCTTTCTTTCTCCGGAAGTCCATCAATTACCTCCAAGAAGCTAAATGGAAAAAATTATCTATCATGGTCTGCTGCTGCTGTAATGTGGTTCCTTGGTCAAGAGCCTTTGATCATAAATATTTTGTTATACAGGAGCGTGGTTTGGGGAGACAGATTGGAGAAGGATATGAAGCTGGCGGATTATACCATTTTGGATCTCGTCTAAGGGTGTCTTGTGTTGCTGCTCCTAATCCTATAGTGCTACATGATCGTCTTGGCCATCCTCATTTGTCCAAATTAAAAAAGATGTGTCCTGAACTTAGTGGTCTCCAAACTTTAGAATGTGAGTCATGTCAATTAGGAAAACATGTTA